TCATGACCCGAGCCGAAGGCAGAGGCTTTAACCCACTGAGCCACCCAGGCACCCCACCAAGTCTCATTTCTTTTTGTCTTCTCATTCATTTCTGTTCTTATTTTTTGAATTTCTGATTCGAGTCTACTGAAACCCAGATATTGACTAAATTAACTTCTGATTTATTTTAGGTTTCTGTATTAAAATGTTCTACATTAAGCCAATTAAATATAAAGGCTCTATCAAGAAGGGAGAAAAACTAGGAACTCTACTGCCCTTGCAGAAAGTCTATCCTGGCATACAATCCCACATACATATTGAAAACTGTGACTTGAGTGATCCTACCGTGTACCTGTAAGTGGAAGACACATGACCACATCTTCTAAATAGAAAACCATCTTCTTAAAAACCTGGATGCATATCCTACTCTTCAAGAAATTTGTGTCCAAATAAAAACATGATGAATGTAAGAAAGAAAATAGCATTTTTATTTCAACTCATTGACACTTGAATGTTTGTCAACTAATTTCTGAGAGTTCTCTGATTTTTCTGTCACCTATGGGATCTGAGGGGTTTTACTTGTTTGTTTTTTAAAGTTTCTCAGTCCTAAATACACAGGATAAATAAACATACAAATTCTGGCCTCTCCAGACCACGTTTTTGACACTTCTAAGACTAGCTACCTTTCTGCCTAAGAATAGGAAAAAACCTGAAGCTGTTCTCCTGGTACAAGAATAGAGTGTTGCACAGTGCTGGACACACATACATACTTCATAAATACTAAGTGAATAAACTGGAGTTAAACTCTGAGTAAAAGTAGGGAAGAGTTTCAGCAATAACCTCAGGTTTGTCAAACCGGTCAAAGGGTGAACTGTTTGCACAGAGAAGACAGAATTCGCTGGTTTTCACATCTGCACTTGCCCAAACTATATGAGCAAAACATTTTCTAAACATAAATATAAGAAAATACATCAGTATTTTCGATTTCAGTAAGACTGCATTACAGGAATTTATCATCCTGGAAACTTTCCATGAATTCTTGCTTAAATCCTTTTGGAATGTAGAAAACTCCAGCAGAAAGATTCTGTTCTTAGTACAGATGTGCTAGAGGAAAATGTAATTAACTGAGCTTTATTATTGGAGAATTAGCTGCATTTGTATGCTACGATATATGTATGAGAACATTCATATCACTATTTGTCATGGCAAACCCTGGAACAACTCAAACGCTTACTACAGTTGATATGAACAAGTGAGCTATGAGTTAGTTACAGAATGGAATAGTATACAGTGGTCACAGTAAATGAGCCTCAGCTAAACAACAAAATGGATGAATCACAGCAATATGATTTTAAGTTTAAAAAAAAAGTCCTAAAGATTATATATAGTTGGATACTCTTTTTATAAAGTCAAAACAATTAAAACCAAAATGTAATTTTTAGGAACACATATATGCGATAAGAGTAAATTTAAAGGAAATCAAGCAAATAATGGACACTCGTTACCACAGGACTAAGTAAGAGAAGCTACAAAGAAACATTTAAGTTACTGTCATGTCAATGTTTTCATTTTACAGCTAGGAGGTGAGTATTTATTATATTATGTGACAGTAGTAACAAGACTTGCTGGTGGGTGGTCAGGAAGAAGAGTTCATGATGACTCTTGATTCAGAGCCTCTACTGGGACGTTCCCATATGCAATTACATAGTATTCTCTACTGGATCATAATATCTCATGTAAGGCTAACAAATTAAGAATTTTAATTTGTTTTTTTTTTAAAAAAGAACTATAACCAACACTTCGGTTTGATCATCTACCTTATTAATCTCCTTAGTGCCAAATCACTTCAGGTTGTTTTCGGAAATTAAAGTTGCTTTTAAAAGACTAGGCTGTGTTCTCATTCAGAACACAGAATAGAAATTAGCACAGAGACTTCGAAAACAATTTTTAAAGGAGCCCTAAGACGTCCGAACAACAAATAATCAACCTTATTTAGTGATTGTTTTAAAAACCAGACCTGTTGACTGGAACGGAGAGCCTCCCCAAGGTAGAGCAAGACGGATGCCTTCTGTCTAGCATTCCATAAAGCTATCTTGTAGCTGTTAAATGGAAATGCAAACTTTAGACTAAAGGACTGCTCTTAGAAAGAACCAGCATACAGCGCCCTCTGGTGCATTTCATCAGAGGGCTGTTTTGTTTTGTTTAAAATTTCCTTTCCTTTTTAGATTTGAGTGTCAAAACGTTCAGTTTAAAGTATTGTTAAGGTTCAAATGACAGAATAGTACTGAATAACATATTTTTCCTTAGTGAAAATGACTGTCAAATATACTTTAAGAACTGTTACACATACTAGGCTTGATGGCTGTTAAGATAATAATGCAAACAAAATTAGTTTTTACTTGTAAAATGTTTTGAGTTTTCTCCAGAAAAGTAATTTAATGGAAGAACAAGATAAGTGGCCATTTTAATCTAGAATCCTCTAATCTTAAGTAAACAGTACTTTTTATAGACTTCCAAAGTAAATGGGAGACATTTTCATTAGATAAAGCATTAAAAATACTATTTTCTTGTCTTGATTTTGGCTATCCTAAAAATCTTTGCTGTTGAATTTATAAATGCAGTTAGACCAACCAGGGTTATGAAAATGAGCTGATCAATTCTACTGCGTTTGCCTTTAAGAGTTCTTATAGTGCTTAGTTCACTAAGTCCGACTACTAAAAACCACCACTAAAGACCACTACTAAAGGCCACCATTTAGAGTGGCAACATCTCACTCAATGTACGAGAGGCGATAGGTACTCATTATCGTTCTGTGCTAGCAGGCAATAGGGAGAAACTCCACCTTGATCACCTTTCATCTGTCCCTCTCTGTTTTGCGCTTTAGTGAAACCAACACAGGCATCCTATCACCTACTATTCAGATAGGTATACTCCCACCCTACCCCTCCACTACACATCACGTTATCCCGTGAGACCAGAGTTCACTTCTTCAGTATTTCCACCACTGTTCTGACCTCCAAAGAGCCTGACCCTCCTCTCAATTATGCCATTTCCTCCATGTGTGTCCTGTTAGCCTAACCAGACCTTGAGTGCCCTACAATACGCTGCTTCTGTACTCTCCTGAAATCCTAAGGTATAAATCACATGATCTGCAATAGTAACAACTGTCTTTGAGAATCTGATTTTTTTTAACCAGTATTTCAGCCCCACTCACATTTACTAATGTGCTACACAGCGGTCTGAGAGTCCCAAACACAAAATTGAAGAAGGAAAGATGCCCATTCTTACAGAGCTCAAAGTGAGAAAGGATGTGGCACGCTGCAGAGAATGCTTGCACAAGTAACTCTCTTAAAAAAAAATACAGAAAATATGCTCTTTTTTTAAAAGTTACCACTTACAAACCACAAGGTATCCTAATTCTAATTTCTTTAACAGGTGAGAAGATTTAACACTTTTTCCCAATTAAAAAACATTTAAGGGGTGTCTGGGTGGCCCAGTGGGTTAAAGCCTCTGCTTTCGGCTCAGGTCATGGTGCCAGGGTCCTGGGATAGAGCCCCACATCGGGCTCTCTGCTCAGCGAGGAACCTGCTTCCTGCTCTCTCTCTCTCTGCCTACTTGTGATCTCTGTCTGTCAAATAAATAAATAAAATCTTTTAAAAAATTTAAAACTGGAAAATAATAAACTTTTTAAGTTTAATTGCTTTCTTAGAAAGTAAATAAAGATACTGGGGGAAGACATAAGGGAACTCTGGAAATGAAAGTATCTAAGTAAAACTTACTGAGTGTCTACTATTTGCTAAATATTATGCTAGATGCTGGGGATACAACAGTGAGCCAAACCTGACAGTGATCTTGCACTGATAAAGCTCATAGGGCAGTGGAATTAGCAGATATTAATCTAATCATACAAGTAAATGGCAAATTACAATAGTAGTAAGTGCTGCAAATAGAAGTCACAGAGTGCTGAGAGTCAGAGGCTTCCCTAAGGAAATGACATCTAAAGGAAAGACCTGAGGAAGCAAACAGAGTGATGGAGGTAGAAAGAGACTATATCCTCAGGCGCCCTGACTAGAGGGTGCATGGCTGTCTTTTGGACCTGCAAGAGAATGGAGCAGAAGGGCAACGGGAAGCTCTGAGAGCAAATGAGGGCAAAAAATCAGGGAGATGCCAGACCATGTAGGGTACTGTAGGTCATTTTAAGGATATATCTTCACCCTAAAAGCAATCTATAACTACTAAAGAGTTTTAGCTGTGCTACTAATTACATTATAAGATCACTCCTGCAAAGGATCTCTAGCACAGTTCCAGACAGAGTAGTAGGCCATCAGTACATGCAGATTCCCTCCCAAAGACACTCTGCAAAATGTACTTTTTTCACTTGAGCTTAGCCAAAAGGCTGATAAGTATATTTAATCAACTAACAATCACAGTATCTTTACAAATTGATCAGTGTTAATTTTGATCTAATGCCCATCTTCTCCTGAGTTAAATGAAGTAGAATTCAATGTGTTAGAAATTAGAAATTGTTTATTGAGTTATAATATGATCTTATGTAGTGCTAAAAATTAAGTACAATTAAGTCAGCTTCTGTGTCTATACTTTTATTTTACTCTTGGATTTAGTCCTATATATCTTGTAAAACATACTCATACCAAGATGAAAGAGAAGCAATTAAAGCAGTATAAAGTTACCAACGTCATAATTTAGGGATCCAAAGCTCAATATTATAAATTTATTGAGCAAGCTAAAATGTACCTTCAGCAAAGGCTAAGGAACTCAAGTACAAACAATATGTAGTTTTTAGCCTATCAACTACCTAACGCACAACACAGGATCTATGTCTTATTTATGGAGATTTCTGGCTTTTTCCATTTCTCATATTTTTTTCAAATGTTTCTATTCCAAGACATTAAGACAGTTTGCAAATGATAAGATAGTTTACCTAAAATAGTTCAGCAATATATCTTAAAATTTATATTTGCATAGAAAGAAAGAAGCTAATTTTAACAATTTAAAAAAAATTAAGAATCCTTGGAAGCCAATCACCAGACAGGCAGGACATCAGGGAACCACATTCTTCCCAAATGTTTGGAGACCTCAGTGTGAACTTTATCTAGGCTATACTCATCATCAGGGATCAAAACGTCTTCCATTACAGAGAGCTGGGTTAGTCTTTTCCCACACAGTCTTACAAATTCAATGAACGCACTGCAGCTAACTTCACATTCACTGAGGCCCAAGGCTGTTAAGTTTTTACAGTGTTCAGCAATACAAATAAGTTCAGTATCAAGAGTCTGAAGACCATTAGTACATACCACTAACTCAATTAGTCGTGGACAGTTAAGACCTATCCGTCCTAGAATCGCTTTACTTACTGAGCGACCAAAATAAAGGTGAGTAACAGGGGTTTCTTCTTTGAAGAATGCCTCAAATTCTTCTTCATATAAAAAGAAATACATAACAACATTCACTCCAGGGGAGTGTTTGATAAGTGCATCCCAACTTTGTTTTTTAATAGAATGAAATTCAATTTGCCCAGGATTTTCACTCACAACATCAATTCGAAGATGCTCTAGGTTAACATGAGTTTCACTTGAAAGTGCTAGGAGAAGTTCATCACTTAGAATGTAATAATTCAATGCCAGTTCTCTAAGGCCTTGACAGCGATCAGCTACACAAAGGATTCCTGTGGGAAATGGTGAAAAATTCTTAAGAACAAAGAATCACACTGATTACCAATATGATAGCTTATAAACTTAAATTTGACATCAGTTATTCATTATTTACTAAAATAGATATCAAACAGGCTGCCTGGGTGGCTTGGTCAGTCAAGTGACCCACTCTAGATTTCATAGATTTCAGCTCATGTCATGATCTCAGGGTCCTGGGATTGAGTCCCATGTTGGGCTCTGCACTCAGCAGGGAGTCTGTTTGAGGATTCTCTCTTCCTCTCTTTCTCCCCGTCCCCACCCCACACTCACTAGCTTTCTCCCTCTGGCTCTCTCTCTCTCTCTCTCTCTCTGAAATAAATAAATAAATCTTTTTAAAAAAAGATAATTCAAAATAAAATATAATAAAATAGACATCAAATGACTTCTGAGGAGATGGATGTCAAGATATGTATATAATTACATATAAAAGTAAAAAACATATGTATAATAAAATATACATATGACTAAAATATCTTTAGAAGCAATTTAAACTGGGAAACCTGTGTGGCTCAGTCAGTTAAGCGTCTGCCTTTGGCTCAGGTCATGATCCCAGAGTCCTAAGATTGAGTCCCACATTGGGCTCCTTGCTTGGTGGGGAGCCTATTTCACCCTCCGCCTGCCGCTCCCCCTGCTTGTGCCCTCTCTCCCCACCTCCCTCTGACAAATAATAAATAAAAAAATAAATAAAATCCTTAAAAATATTAAAAAAAGCAATTTAAACTATGTCTACCTTACAGATTAAGATTTCTTTAGAAAAAAGATTACTTTTTTCAATTATGTTTCATAAGCTTGTAGTATTCTATGTGAAATTGCATTGTTACACATAATATAACATAAAGAATACAGCAGAATATACATACATATAGTATATACGTATAATACATATAGTATATTATACATACATATAGTATATATTATATATACTATTCTACTATATATTATATAGCATATAAGAATACAAAAGTATATATTATATGGATTACATATGATATATATTATGCTAATAGTAGAACAAAAACATCATGCTTGCTTAAAAAAGATATAACTTACCATCAGAGGAAACATGCGGATAGCTACTCATTTTTAGGAGTCTTAGGGTATCACTATTATTGGCCACAAGAATTTTCAATGAAGGATCATCCACTGGTGTGTCTTCAATTTTGATCGATGATAATGATTTTGAGTTGACAAAGACAACTGTAAGTGCTGACACAAAATGAGACTTGCACAGCAATAAAAAAAGAATTAGGAAAACGTTATTTAAAATCTACAGATTCAATCAAATAGTTCATTGAAACTATATCAACAGATACTAACAATAACATAGTAAAAACAATCAACATATTAGCATTTTAATGACACCATTAGTCAAAAATCCACCTCAAAGATTTCATATACATACCTTCCAATTACTTCAATCCTAAGGATTTGATTTTCAGTATTAAAAGGATATAATTGCATTTATTTCCTAGAACAGGGGTTGACAAATTGTGACCTGCCAGCCAAATCCAGCCTAGTCTGTTACCATATTGCTCTTGAGTTCAGAATAGCTATTATATTTATAAACAGTTGAAAGAAATTTTGTCCAGAATATTTTATAACATGTGAAAATTACAAGAAACGTCCAGTGTCCACAATTAATGTTTGACTGGAACACAACCTCGCTCCTCCATCTACATACTATGTCTGCTTTCACACTACGATGCTGGAGGGGAGGAGCTCCAGAATCACAGCCTGTGAAGCCCATAATACTTACTGTCTGAACCTTTTCCACCCCTGCCATAGAATAAAGAGAACTTTCATGTTTTATTCTCTCCTATATTTCCAGCACCTAAAATAATATCTGGCACACTGCAAGAGATCAGTAAATATTTCTCAATGAATAAACAAATGATCTTATTCTTCAGTGATAAGCATTTTGCTAGAAAGTCATCTAAATAAATGTTTTAAGATTTTAAAAAAGATTTTTAAATTTTTAATTTTTAACTTTTTTAAGACTTTTAATTTATTCGAGAGAGAGGAGGGAGAGCATGAACAAGAGGAAGGAAGGAGCAGGGGAGAAGGAGAAGCAGACTCTCCACTGCGCAGAGAGCCCAATGAGGGGCTCAATTCCAGGACTCTGAGATCATGACCCGAGCTGAAGGCAGATGTTTAACCCACTGAGCCACCCAGGCATCCCAATAAAGATACATTTTTAAAACTATGTTTTAAAAATTGACAAACGGGTGCCTGGGCGGCTCAGTGGGTTAAAGCCTCTGCCTTCAGCTCAGGTCATGATCTCAGGGTCCTGGGATCAAACCCCGTGTTGGGCTCTCTGCTCAGCAGGGAGCCTGCTTTCCTTCCTCTCTCTCTGGCTGCCTCTCTGCCTACTTGGGATCTCTGTCTGTCAAATGAATAAGTAAAATCTTTTAAAAAATTATAAAAATTGACAAACAAAAGCCTATTTATATTTTGACTCCAAAATGGAAAAAAATTTCACAAGGTTCAGATCTAGTATTTTTTGACACAGATAGAAAATCTGAAAACCAAATACAGGCATGATCATTTTTCTCTTTTCAAAGTCAATGTGGATTCTGCCAAAGATACTAATGCTCCTATGACAATGACCAATTGGTTATAACTCTCATTCATTTATTAGAAACCATACTGATTTATACTAATTATATATTAATATAAATTTTTAAATGGTGGATGGCTAGATCTCTTTGCTAAATTTTATTGTGCCAAAAATCATGAGAGAAATACATTATTTTTTCCTTAAGAAATACAAGGCTTATTTTCCCTTTAATCAATTCTCACTGGACTCTTAGCCCTGCAGGATGTATTTCAGCATTACAGGACCTACAACATCATGGTGTCCACATAATTCCTTTAGCACTCCTTACGCCTAGCAAAATACTCTATTTTTACCCTATCCTTTCCTCAGTTCACAGGTGAAAAAACTGAAATTCAGAGAGATGCTCGACTTTGCCATAAGCTACTCAGTCATTTGACTGTCGAGGCAGAGCCTGCAAGGACATGTGCTCATCATGGCTGCCTAACCCTGGCGACTGCACCGGCTCCCCAGAACCAAAGCTGATGTGTGACATCTGAGATAGCTGAGAATCTAAGAATTTCAGGCTAAGCTGACTCCATCACTCATACACAAGGAAATAACTATTGAGAAGTAGTAAGTTTCCATCTGATTGCTTATATTACACTAATCCCCAAATGACCCATTTTCCCTATCTCTCAAAAAGATAAACAGGCTGGTGGAAATGCTTGAGAGCCATGACCCAGTTTATGAGCGAGAAGATGCTACTATTCCCCTATCGTCTTCCACAGGAAGAGGATAACCTTACTACAGGAAGGTTTCCATCAGACAGTTTTACTGACAACCAGAATTAATGTTTATTATGTATCAGGCACTACTCTAACTCTTGGCTTGTAACGGTAAATAAACAAACAGAGTCTCTGCCTTCAAAGAGCGTATACTTTGTTGTAGGGGATGAGAATAAACGTGTTAAAGAATGACATAAAGAAAATACTGTAACACATCAGAGTGTAATTGGAAGAAGGGGTACTGCTTTAGCAAAGCGGTCAAGGAAGGCCTGCCTGAGGAGATAGGACCCAAGCTGAAGCCTGAATGAAGACAGTTATTAGTTTATGCTTCTGGCAAAGTCGTGCATCTCTCTGAGTGTCAGAAACAGCTGGTGACTTCCTAACACCCATTCATCCTTTCTTTCTTTGCTAATCAGGTCACAATTTTGAGCTGAGCATGTTACCAGTCAGCTAAAAAATGGTTCCTTGTCACCCAGAAACCTAGTGTGGCCACACAGTTAAGTGCTCGTCAGTGAGATATCAACAAAAGCATTACACAGTACTCATGGCTAGGGTTCTTGAAAAACAGTGGGCATACCCTTCTTTCCCCCTTTCCTCCAGCTTCTTGCTGTGATGGCTGGAGCTCAGAAAGCCACCTGAAACACCTACAAGAACATGAGATGCCTCAAAAGAACTTGGAGTCCTAACAACTTCATACAGGCTCTGCTCATGCATGGATTTCTTTAATGTAAAAGAAAGAAACTCCAGCCATGTCATTGAAGCTACTATTGTTTTGGAGTTTCTATTACACAGAATCTGACGTCATCCTAACTGGTATAGTTCATTTAGTATTATGTTGTTCTAAGCTCCAATGGAGAGGCTACAGAATTACAAGAAAAAATCCACTACTGGTCATACATGCTCTATATTCAAAGAAACTAACTGGCACTTGAAAATTCCAAGTATAACATCTAAATTTTATATTAATGATAGCTACTGTAGAAACAATAATTAGAATTACAAAATATGTCGAAAGGATGAAGCCATATATAAGCTATTTCAGTAAAAGTAAGTGCTAATCAATAGGAAACTGCTTTAAGTAATTGTTTGAAGATAAGGAGGATGTGGCCTGTTTTATGGAAAATAATTCTTTTTGCCTAGATTGAAATATTTGAGAATTTTTGTGTCTCTCACAAAAAAGCCTGGCATCTTTACCTTTGACACATTCATAAAACTTGGCTTGGCCGTTGAAATCAAGCCCAAGGTCTGGATAGAACAATTTACCAGCTGAGAAAGTATATCGCAGGCAGCTTCCGCTGATTCAGTACTACTATCCACCTATAAAAACAATTTTAAATCTTCATTTCCCAAAGGTGAATTATCAGAAACTTACTGGCAATTTAACTATGTAAAAGAATCCCAATGCAAAACTGTATTTATTCCATCAAACTATACAACAAATTAGTATTTCTTCTTTCCACAAAAGGTCTCAGACAAAAAGTGAGGAATAGAGCTGATGATAGCATAACTTCCTAAGTGCTCCATACTTCCCAATCCCTTACAATGACCTGAATTTTAGTAGTACCATCCAGATGAAGGAAACTGACGTTTAAGTCACAGCTCAAGTTCCTCACTTCAATCTGTGCAAACGATTACAGAAAAACAGGACATAGGTTGGAGTAAAAATTCTGCAAAATTTACTGACTGCCTCAGCATAAGGATCTAGATACATGAAAATGACACTAACAAAACCTAAGTTGTTTCTATTTAATGTTTATTTTTCTTACCTTAAAGCTGACATACTGGAGATGGGTAGCATGCTTTTTAATGATCTGCTGAATGAGATCAGGATGTGTGGACTTAAAATAGGAAGTCGCTGACTGGTTCAGTTCAAATTCAAACTTTCTCCAAAGGTCAGGAATATGAAAAACTTCATTCCATTTCCTACATACTGAAGACGCCCGGGCCCGATCTATTAAAGGAAGATACTGAAAAATGCGTAATACTACATAGTGAGGCAAACTCCCCCAGTCTAGAAGGACAGTGTGCCTGTGGGTGTAATTGAGAGAAGAGAAGAAGCCAACTTTTGGTTGTTTCACTGCTGGTGAAGACTGGATGATTTTATTCACAAGAGATAAATTGTTCCTCTTCATTCTGTAAACATTAAAAGATTTTGTGATCATATTTTCCACATTTCCATCAGACACCTGTACTCCAACCGCACAGAGTAACATTAGAAAATGAAAACCAGTTAAGCAGATTTTAATAGTAATCTTCCACTATCATGCACTGATAGGTACTCCCACAGGCTATGGATACAGAGGTAAGAGGGAGCCTGCTCTCCAAGAGCTATGGTCAAATGATGGAAGACCATGATAAATGCCTGCCCTGACATTGGGACAAGTCGCACTGGAAGAATAAAGCAATGACATGTGACTGAGTTTGTGTATGGGAGGGAGTGGTTGGGGAGGCTTCCACGAGGGAATGTCCACCGAAGCAGTGTGTCTCGCAGGTTTATTCCTGGTCAATTACTGTATTCTTACTATCTCCTACAGAGAAGAAAGCATCTCCATGCAATTCTGCTAACAACTCCTGAGGTCCTGAAAGACAGTAAAACATTATCAAAAGCAGAGGCCTGGAAAAGCCCCAGCTCAGCCATTTACTAACCATGTGATCTTGTCTGCATAAATTTAAGCCTCAGGTTCCTCATCTGAAAAGCATGGAAAACAGCAGTACCTAATTTCACAAGGCAGTTGGGAGGATTAAAGTCTATAAGTATCAGAACACAGTAAAGGCTTAAGAAATGTTACAGTCATTCTTGTTGTACTAAATTGTCCAGTGAATTTTTCTAAACTAATTTCGTTAATTAATTTGAAGCACAATTTCCAGGTGACACCCAGGACACAGCAGCTCTAGAGAAACTGGGCGTAGCAACACACCTGACCCTCAGTAGCAAATGTAAAACAGCAAAGGGATGAGCATTCTTCCCCAACAAAAAGGCAGGATGACTGTCCAGGGAGGAGCCAGCTTGAGACACACCTAAGTTACAACAAATTTCAAGTCCAAGTATGTAGGGTTACTATGTACATATAGTCTACATAAGAATGCAAAGTGCTTTATATATACAATTATTTGAGAGGCAGAATAATGGTAGGAATGGCTCTCAACTTTATTTAACTTTGCTTGACTACTTAACTCTCTTTTCATCCTTGAATGTTAGAAATATATATATATCTGCCTGACGTGAAATACTTCTTAGCCATAATAGAGAGCTGGATCCCAAAGCAGGGCTGACCTATAATTATAGTTGCTAAACAAAATGAAAGGACATCTTTAGGGTTTAGAAAACTAAAATAGGTGCAAAGTAATACAATGTAGTTGTATCTCAAGCATGAGGCAAAGAGCTACCACACACATTAAATATGACTCAACTAGTTATACACACAACTGAGAAGTGGCCCAATAATATAGAATATATCAAACTGCTGAAACCAGTAATTCAAAGCATATTTAAAACATGCTTATTTTGGCAAAATATGCTTATTTTGAAAGGGCTGCCCTACTCTTTAATTTTAATTCGCTAAAATGAAATACATTGGCCCAGGTAAGGTAAAAGAATGAACAATGGATCCTAAATTCTGATATGAAGCACATTAATGGGCATTTTGCTTGTATGTGTTTCATTTGGTACACTTACAGAATGGATTGTTAAAATTTCACTAAGTGATCACAAAAAGAGTTATCCCTAATATAATCCCTTACTGGAAAAGCATCACAGCCAAAAGGAAAATAAGATTTCAATGAAAGGTCAGGTTAGCAAACTGCCTTGCAGTTGTAAACAAAAGGACTGTGCTGTACATTCAAGTGACTCCATGTAACCTGGACAGATTGTTTCCTTTATTCAGCAAAATATTAAATTGCCAGTTCACTGACAGAATCACCATAAACGACAGACATTCAATGAATACCAGTCATCCTATTAAAATAACATTTTAATTTTCTTTTTCTTTGTGAACATTCATCTTCAGAGTCTAAGGCTCGTCTAAAAGTCAAATGTTTTATATTTAAGTCAGTATCGACGAACATCAGTTAAATATATCTTAGAATGAAAGGCAAATTCATCTTTATTAGCTTGAAAACCTTTATATAAAAAACTCCAACCTAAACATACAAGATCGTTTAAAAAAAACGGACGGTTGCTTTTTCAAACTGCCAACTTTCTTACCTAAAGAAGGCTTCCAAGTTATAGTTCACTCTGAGCAAACAAAATGCTGCCATGGGGTACTCACCAACATCCATTTGATCTCACTTCCTTGCTTGGCAAAATACCACAAAAAGACATTCATCAGAATGTATAAGTAAAAATCCAGTGACTTTTATGCTTAGGACATTTACCTATCATCGCCTTATGTTGAAGGATTTTGTTACGAAATTGTTGATTCCCAAACAACTGTTTTCTACTCGGGAGGAAACTGGTCCATCCAAACAACTGGCTAGGTGAGTGGCAATATGGTAACCTTTGTCAGGAATCAGGCTAGAAGATCTACTAAGAAAGCCATGGATCAAAGGGCTCTGAATATTTCTATTTTAATGAACATGTATGGAGAGATTTTACAAAGCGTCTAAGTAGTTCAAGCTTACATTTATTTGTAGGCTGTGTAAATCTTTCAGTTCCAGATTTTAAGAGCACATAATGCCACTACAGGTACAATAATTAAATAAGAAGACATAAAAATTTAATTGAATATTGTTTGACTCATCTAATAACTATAGATTTCTTAAAAGTTTTTCACTTATGTTGACAGATGTAATTGATTCATTCATACTCAATCCATTCATTCATACTGTCTTTGAGGTCTGACCAATTTCAGGTCAGTTAACTTGCGAGAGTTGTGAGCAGTCTATGGACATGGAAGAAAATAGTGATGGGTCTACACCAGGATAATACTCACTGCCTTGGCATCATGAATAAATGTTGTAAAGTCATAGATAAATAAATGCACTCTACTACCTTCATAAGCCAAATTCAACGGTACAGGGGAGGTGGAGGAAACAACCCATCAACGCACTAAAATCTTGACTGCTGTGTGCTACCTGCCAGGTCTCAATTTCTCTCTGAATCTTACTCCTAACAGAGCTCTGGTAAACAAATAGGGAGAAAGAATTTGAGCTCCAACATCCACAGTTTAATTTCTTCCACTACCTGTATTTACAAGGTAATGTCAAGGTTGGTTCTCCCGTTTTATATTCCACTCCAGAAGTAGGCAGAAAAGGAGCTACTGGCGCCATTTTCAAAAGAACATCACAAATAAGGGAAGGAACAAGTCACATGACTCGTGTTTCCTTCATCAGATGTCACACACAAGTTTACTTACTGCAGAAACTTTTCTACTGGGTAATCGAGACAGCTCTGTGTTTGCAGGCCCTCCTGTATGCTGGAGAATACAGCAGTAATGTACTAATGGTACATAAACAGTAAATCACTAGAAGCCTAAGAAGATGGCGAGCAAGCACCTATCTCAGATCAATTCACTGGAGTTTTCAGGACCAGATGAACTACTTCCCTGGGTACTGAAGAAACTTGATTGCTGTTTCTGAGTCACTATCAGAATTCTGAGCAACAGGAGAACTTAAAACCAGAATATGAGACCTCATCAAGTGAGGAGACAAACTTAGAACTGCAATATTTTAGAGCCTGAAAAAGGTTTATTAGCATTTGGGAGAGAATGTAACAATGACTCAAAGTCCACTCAGTGACTTCGCTAACCATCCTAACCCGATTTTCCTTTTTATTATGTTTACTAAGTTGGTGGAACAGGTGATCATGTGAATTGGATCTTCTGAGTATCTAAGAAACCTCCAAAAGTTTTCTTTAGAATAACATTTTCAAAGAGGAAATGAAAGATGGAACACCCAAAGCCCACCTGGTGCCTGTGGTGGAAACAACCACCTTCTGCAGCATCGCCAGATTCTTCCAGATTGGTTAAATGAAGACAAAGGAAGTACTTTTGAAAAGTTTCAAGTATTCAATCGTCACAACGCTAGAAATGTTGTGCAAATATTACAGATAAGAGAATAAAGATTCAAAGCTACCTAAAAGGCTAGACAAATTTGTTGGAAGCACCAAGATGAAAATGAACAGAAATAATTACCAAATGTCCTTTATTTAAGTTGCTTTCTAAACCAGCACGCTAAAAATCTTAGTGCGGCTACCAAAATCAGAAAGTGTGGCCTGGGCAGGAGAACTGAAGATCTGCTTCAAAATACAGCTTTCAAACACACAACTTTCTAATAATAGAGCCAATCATGTTAAAGGCCAACACTTTCTCCCAATAAATATCACTCAAGGACAGAGAAAAACATTTTTTTTAGAGATACTGTAAAATAAACATTTACATTCTTTGCAGCCGACGTCACCTTAGTTGCCAATCTAAATCTAAAACTGCATTTTTTTAAGAATACAAAAGTCAAATTACAATATCATCAAGGATTCAACAAGACAAACAGAATAAGTGTTATATCAAGTAAATCTTTTCTAAAGCACTGATTTCCAGAATTTTGGCGTTCTCATATTTCACCACTGATTTAGCAATTTTCTATACTGTCTCCAAAGTCTCTCTGTGGTATTAAGTATACTCATTTAAAAAAGTAAAATGAAAAATTTAAATTTTAAAATAGGCGTCTTTCCTTTTAGTGACTCATAGGAAAACTGAAGTTTTCAAAATATACGTAGACTTAAAGCACCTGTAATCCTCTATTACAGAGAATCTGAACCAGGCAATCTGTGAGAATCCCTGAACTGGGGAGGGGAGGCTGTTAGGCTGCTTTTCACTCTCCATTCCCGCTCCCCACCCTCTCCCACTCCCAACCTCACAGGCCAGACTCTGAAAAAGAAAAGGCAGTGAGGACACCAAGCCAGGCCCTCTACAGGGAAACCTTCGGAACTGGGGAGGAGGGTCCCAATCCTAGGGTTGGTCACATTAAGGGATCTAACATTAATACAAGGGATTCAAGAAAGCATTCTGCAACATTTTTCTGAGAATATAATCAATTCATTCAACTTCACATTTTTGGAAGAATGTCTGAGCAGGTGCCAAGGCAAAACTAGTCCACCTTTGAGTGCAGACTCTCCCAAGCCACGGGAAAGGCTGGTGTCTGCCTCTCTCTGGCTATTTCTTTGTGGCAGACATAAACGCCCCGCTACCCTCCTGTTACCTAAAACCCTTCCAGATGTTCTGCAAAAGCGACCCCGTCTATCAGTGACCACCGCTCACTATCCCCAACTACCCTTATTCAAAATATCCGCGAGGGAGCGTTCGAGGGCCGCGTTACGATGCAGACAATCCCCTCAAAGCTTACCCTCCAAAGACGGAAAAAAATGACCGAATTCAGGAAGGTGGGTCCCGCGCAGGCCCCTGTTGGAAAAACGCACACGGTGAGAAGCGAACCACGCGCAGCCATAAAACCGGCTAGATGACACCCCCGCCCCGGGCAAATCAAATGCCGGCTTTGCCAGGCTGCCCGGCCCGCGGTCTGGAGTGGGGCCGCGCCACCGGGCTCCCACCACCCCCATCCTAGGGCCGCGCCCGGGTCCGCAGCGGCCCCGCGAGGAGGCCAGGTCACGCCTCCTCGTGCCCAGAGCGGGCGCGGGGACCGACGGCGCCTCCCCATCCCCACATCGCCACCAGCCTGAGCCAGGCAGGACGCGGGCTCCGACCCCCTCAAAGTCTGCGGAGGTGCACCCCTCTAAGACCACTGCGACCCCCACAAGGAACTGCTACCTTCAAGCCTGTAACCGCGGGAGTTCCGCGGGCACCTGTGTGCGTCCGCCTGTGTGCGTCCACGGGCCGGGCTACTCGGGAGAGACCGCCCACCCCGCCGGGGCTCCAGTGGCTGTTAGGGTGCTGGAGGCGCGGGGACGCAGACCGAGACCCCGGGCAGTGGCCGTAATCCCTTGGGCCGGCCTTGCCTCGGCCCCGCCCCGGCCCCGCCTCGCATGCGCCCGGCTCCCCCTTCCTCGGGAGGTCCAAGTGCGCGGACGCACACCTGCTCCGTGGCCCCGGGGGCGCCTCCTCCGGGCGTGAGTGGGAGGGCTTCTGCCTGCTGGTCTTCAGCTACACCTCTGTGACCCCCTGCGCTGTCAAACTGAGGGCCAAAGGAGAGTGAACTTAGAGTTTCAGTTCCTAGAAATGAGCCTCCCCGGGGAAAGGTCACGATTTATTAATATGCAAATAGATGAAACTTAAAATATCAAAAGTGGTAACAGGTCAGTGTTAAATATGTATATATTACCTCTCTGTCCTGTGCCCCATCTCTTTCCCTGGGGCTAACTACCGCAATAGTTCATTGTGTAAACTACCAGACCATCAATATATACACACACAAAAAGTGTACCTTCATAGGGTAAGGATTTTATTACTTTTTCTTAAACATTAGTTCTTTTAAAATCTGAAATCAAACTATATGTAATGTTCTGGAACTTCTGTTTTTGCTTGGCATGGACATAGTTCCATATCAACACAGATGGTGCCCCACAGACTTTTTTTCTTCTTTAGATGGCTTTATTAAGGTATAATGAACAAACTGCACACTTAAAGCATAGAATTTGGTAAATTTTGACACCGTTGAGACAGTCACTGCAATCAAGATAATGAATATATGTACATCTTCCAAAGTTTCTTTACATCCTTCTGTAATCCCTCCTTCAACTCCTCCCGCATCAGCTTTCTGACACTACTATAAATTAGTTGGCATTTTCTCAAATTTTATGTGAACTGAGTCAGAGAGCACTCAGCATAATTGTGTCCAGATTCATCCAGGTTACTGGTTGTTATACTTTGTTTCTTTTTATTGCCAAGCAGTATTCCATCGTATGGATATGCCACAGTGTGTGTATCCATTCACCTCAAGGCGGACTCTACGGTTATTTCTAGTTTGGGGCCACTGCAAAATTAAGGTGCTGTGAGCATAACTGTATGCATCATTATGTACAATTATGCTTTCATTTCTCTTGGTTAAATACCCAGGAGTGCAATAGTTGCATTGCATATAAGGCATAGGCTTAACTTCTAAAGAAGACTGCCAATGTGTTTCCATCAACGCTATTTTATATTGCTGCCAGAAGTTTACTGGAGATCCATTTCTTCCACATTCTCACCCACACTTTTTAATCCAATAAGTATCTGGGAGATAACAGTGCAGTTTTAATTTACATTTCCCTAGTGAATAATGATGTTGAGCATTTTTTTTTTCATGTAGTTATTTACTATCTGTATAACTTCTTTGGTGAAGTTTATTTAAATATTTTGCCTAATTTTAATTGGTTCATTTTTCTCATTATTGCGTTTGGAAAAATATTTAGATATTTAGATAAAATTCCTCTATTAGACATACAACTGTTAGAAGGTGGGGGAGGGACTAGAAAGTATTCCCCAAATCAAGAAGGCACTTTGAGACTGAAAAATGAAGCAGGCCACTCCATACAGTTTTAATACAGAGTTACTTTCAGGGTAACATACTCACAGGGAAGATTTGGTGGGTGACAATCCAGCTGTGCAATTATTCTCCATAAAGTCTGGACCTTGGTCGACAGATTTGATAGTGCAAGGGGACTGGCAGAAGGGCAGTGTAGTGAGACAGAAGGGTTCAGGTACACCTACTTGACATCAAACATTCCATTAGATCTTGTGGCACCACCTGTACTAGGAAGGCGAGAGATTAGGTTATCTTTAACAAATTTACAGAGGGCCAAAGCAAGCCTCCCCCATATTCTGACCTTGGCTGGGATTTCTAAGATGTGTCTATTAATCCCCAAGGGGTCCCAGAAATCTGCAGTGGTGATGGTGGGAGGAGGGGGCTATCAGTGATCAGACTTGAAGGAACAGACGGATAAAGGTGGAGAGATGGAGTCAGTAGGGTTGGATCTCCTACATATGACTTATAACGTTTCTTCCCAGTCTTTGGATTTCCTTTCTATTCTTCCTTTGAAGACCATAAGTTTTCATTTTGATAAAGTTCAGTTTATCAATTTATTCCTTTATGCATCATGATGTCAAATCCAAGAAATCCTTTCCTAAGCCAAGTTCACAAAGATTTTCTCCCATACAGTTTATAACTTCATGTCTTACATTTAGACATATGATTCATTTGAGTTAATATTTGTGCGTGGTGCAAGGTAGGAATCAAAGTTCACTATTTTTGTATACATATATCCAATTATTCCATCTCCAGCTTTTGAAGAGACATTTTTCTTCACGTAATTGCCCTTGCACCTTTGTGGAAAACCCATTGTTCATGTATGTGTTGATCTATTTTTAAACCATTTATTCTGTGTGATAGATTTGCCTATCTTTATGCTATTATCACACTGCCTTGATTTCTATAGCTTTATATTATTATTGAAATCAGGTAGTTTTCACTCTCCAAGTCTTTCTTTTTTCAAAGTTGTTTGGCTATTCTATATTCATTCTATATGAATTTTAGAATCATCTTGTCAATATCTACAAAATGTCTTGCTGGGATATTGCTAGAGATGACCTGCAATTTAGAAATCTGTATGAGGAGAACTGACTTAAAAATATTGAATCTTTGGGGCGCCTGGGTGGCTCAGTAGGTTAAAGCCTCTGCCTTCGGCCCAGGTCATGATCCCAGGGTCCTGGGATCGAGCCCCGCATTGGGCTCTCTGCTCAGCGGTGAGCCTGCTCCTTCCCCCTTCCCTGCCTGCCTCTCTGCCTACTTGTGATCTCTGTCTGTCAAATAAATAAAATCTTTTTTAAAAAATATTGAATCTTCAAACCCATGAACACAATATATCTCTCTATTTATTTAGATCTTTAATTTCTCTCAGCAGGGTCTATAGTTTTCATACAGGTCTCGTAGA